TCTTTGGCTAAGATTGCTATCTGCTTTTAGCGGGAAAGTGCATATAAAAGGAAGTCATAGTATCACAAATTTGAAAGCGTTTTATAGAGAATCATAATAGAAGTGTTCAGTCCAAATTACTCTAAAATTCTACAAACGTTAAGGACAGTTGCAGAAAGTATATTTCAGTTATGCTTGAAATATTTAAAAAAAAAATTACAGTTGATTATTACTACGTATTTAAATCATATATGAGTGACGCCAAGGGAAAAGGGCACCTCGGCAATTTAAGTATATTACTGATGTCTATTAACGTTAACGTACAATTTAAAGCCCATCTGCATCATTGCTGAACTCGATAATATATGCCATTTCCCTTGGCGTCACTCATATATGAACTTTTGGCAAAGTTTGTGAATAGACCGATTATTTTGACACTTTGAAGTAATTCAATGTTACAATATGTATCTGCACTAAAGTACTAAGGTTGCGAACATTTATAGATCAAGAGTTATTCTAAAGACTCAACTGGCGTATTTGTTCTCTCAAATTCCTTCCAAACATATATACAGTTGTTTTATTACATGAATTAGTTTCACATCCTCCAATTCTACTATAACTTCTTCCGCAGCCACTGCATCACCCGGTTTAACGTTAACCTTCTTCACTTTACTTGCGTAATATGTTTTGCATTTTCATGGCTTCTACTACAGCAATTTCGGTTCCTTCAACAACCTGTAAATTGTAATTGTAAATAAATTTTGGTTTTGAACTTTTGTATATTTTATAATAATACTTTACCATATCGCCAGCTTCCACGGCCACGCTTACAACACTGACATCAAATTTTGTGCCTGCATATTTGTAACCGGAACCGATCGGTAAAGGATCGACATATTGCGCAATTAACGTCTCGTTTTCTTGATTATCAATACGAAGAAATGCATTAATCAATGGTGATTCAAATGGCCATTTAGCTGATATTATAGTTTTTTTGGATGGTTTGGTATTAGGATCTGTATCATATGTAGAAATGTCGTTAAATAACACTTTTAACAAGAATTAATCATGTTAGCTTTAGCCATACCTCAAATTCTTCTTCGCTCATGCTTTTTTTCTCCATTTTTACGTTCATAGGTTCAATATCCTTATTTTTATTAATTGCTATCCAAAGATCCCATTTACTTGGTGCGTCTTTGTTCAAGTCACCTCTAAATAAAGGTTCTTTTCTATCAATTCAACTCCAATTTCTCAAATCACGTTTAGCATGAACAAACGCAGAAATGGAAATAAGTTCATGTAGAGATTCATCTTAGACAACATGACCTTTAAATCCACCTGAATATTCTTCTGCGAGAAATTTCGTGGATATATTACCAGATTGAAATCTTTGGCTTGAAATAACTTCGCGAAGTAATGGAATATTATGAGTAACACCTAGCATAAAATGTTGTTTCTGACCTTTAATAACATAAGAATCTAAAGCTTTTAGCATAATATTAATGGCTTCATCCTTTTTTTATAATTAGTAATTAAAAAATTTATTGAGAGTTTAATAAAAAAAATATATACATTAAGGAAAATGACTACGTATAAATTCATCACTAGAATTTCTAGTGTTTTTTAATATGATTGGCCGTAGCGGTTAGTAATTCTTCCAAACTTCTATTTTTTTTTTCCAACTCATTGTTTTTGCCCTCCAACTCTTTGATTTTTTCCTCCAAATTGTTTGTTATAGCTAAACGCTCTTCAAGGTCTTTAATTTTATTGCGAAGAACTAATAAAATTTTAATACAGTATTAGTATTTATTAAAACTATATAATTATTCACAATTATATAAATTAATTACCTTCTTTTTCATGTCCAAATTTTTTCAAAAACCTTAATATTTATTAGTTGATTTAATAATAATAATAATAATAATAGGACTTAATTAGGCATCGCAGCCCTGCGATGTGTTATATATCGCATTATAATGATTGACCAATCAAATTTCAA